GACCCCCCCCACCCAGAGACCACCTCACACCCCAAAATAATACATATCATCTTTCAGGCAGAGAGGGGACCCCCCCCACCCAGAGACCACCTCACACCCCAAAATAATACATATCATCTTTCAGGCAGAGAGGGGACCCCCCCCACCCAGAGACCACCTCACACCTCAAAATTAATACATATCATCTGTCAGGCAGAGAGGGGATCCCCCCCCCCCACCCGGAGACCACCTCACACCCCAAAATAATACATATCAGAACCCGGCTGAAGAGTTACAGAGAGACAGAGGGTGAGTGAGAGGTGGGGGGTGAAACAGAAGAAACAGCCAAACACCCATGACAGGGATGTCCAGTGTTTGCTGTAGTCCTCTATTCAGTCTCTGACCTCCTAATCTGGGGGGGGTGGGGACCATGGGCTAGCTGACCACATCCACCGTGCTGGTCCTGGGCCGCTCACCGCAGCATAGCACTGAAGAGAAACAGCCGCGGTGCCACGCAAGAGTGAGGAGTGAAGCGGGAGCAGGCTCAAATGGTGAGGAGTGAAGCGGAAGCAGGCTGAAATGGTGAGGAGTGAAGCGGGAGCAGGCTCTAATGGTGAGGAGCGAAGTGGAAGCAGGCTGAAATGGTGAGGAGTGAAGCGGGAGTAGGCTCTAATGGTGAGGAGTGAAGTGGAAGCAGGCTGAAATGGTGAGGAGTGAAGCGGGAGCAGGCTCTAATGGTGAGGAGTGAAGCGGGAGCAGGCTCTAATGGTGAGGAGTGAAGCGGGAGCACGCTCTAATGGTGAGGAGCGAAGCGGGAGCAGGCTCTAATGGGCGCCAGAGAACGATCTGGATTTCACAACGGATCACCGGTTCAGGTTATAAGCAGCTCCCCTAAATCTGCTGGTGAGCAACACAAACCAGTTGGCTTTCTAGAAGCCTGCAGAAAACCAGCCTGATCTGCTGGGGACTTACACAAAGGTAGGAGAGGAACTGCAAACAGGAACCAGGGTACAGAGCTGGGAGAGTCAGGCTGCTGCTCGTGTAGGAATAGCACCCCCCACCATCTCACACAACCATTAAGAGCGATTGGGGGTAAAGGTCCAGAATGGATTGAACCGAAAATCAGCAGCAGCGCGAGCAAGCAGTTAGTCACCGTATGACTTAACCGTGTTGCCAGGACACGGAGCTGACAGAAATGAAGCCGTTACTGAGGCGCAGTGTCGACTGGCACAGACTGACAATGAAAAGAGCACAGTGTGGTGCGTTATGCTGGCTCAGCGGCTTCCACTGCAGCCTCATACCCCTAAGGCTGTGGGTGCACTTGGTATGGTCTCCTAGTACTAGCATGGATGTCCTCCTACGATCTAAAAACATGTAGTTTTCATGAATTGGTGTATCTAATTTTCCCATAGTGTATGTGCACATGCCGGCCTGCTGCCCTGTGCTGCCTGGGACAGATAAGAGGCTGTGGATGACAGCAGAGCTGAATCCCCTTCCATTCCTCTGCTGTTCCTGTTCCTCCATAAGCCTGGAGGGAGAGCGGAGTCAATGTGGAGATTCAACACGGCGGCACCAGCAGAGCAGGGCAGCCAGGCGGCTTCGTCTGCATATCGTAACCGCTTGGCTCAATAAATGGCAAGAGGGGCAAACCGGAAATGCTGGTGCAACTGGCACGGCAGTATGGACCCCTCCCAGTCCAGCCCAGGCCACCGATGCATGTTAGCGGTAGAATGACCATCATTTACAAGCATGATTTCCACTTCATCTCCGCATGTAAAAGTTAGGATTCTGTGCGCCTGCGTTTACCTGCCATGGGGGCAGGGGGGCAGCTGGCCTACAGCATACTGGGAGGGAGGAGACTGGTCTCGGCCTTTTCGCTGGTCCCCCCCTTATTCCCAGCAATGGTTTGTTCGTTCTTGGCCCCCAGTAGCCCACAGCGACATCCTGCTCAAACATCCTGGGACTGCCTGCCTACCCTGTGACAGTCCACAGGATTGGGGGGGGTCCTGGTCTTTTTCGAACCCAGACCAGCCCTGTACCTTCACTCCTGCATCTAGCTGGTCTCCACTGACCTGGAACTGAGCCCTAATCTCCATAATGGGCCAGTCACTCACTCACGCCACATCATGCACTTTCACATCGTAATTCTCTCTCTCCTGCTAGATATTTGCATTTCGTATTTAACTCTGATTTATAATAAAACAAGAATAAGCATAATACCTTATCTGGGGTTTCTCAAGTAGGTTAATGAGATTCTGAAATCAATGCAGATTCAGTATATTTGGCAATCAATTTGCGTTATTGCTCATTCATCAATCTCCCACATTGCACAGTCCATGCAAGGCGGGTGCTCTGGAGTGCTGCAGCTGGGGTGGGGGGTCGGCTTGGATGCTGTCTGACGTGCCCAGTGAGCGATGCATTTGCGGCTGGCTGCTCGCCCCGAGGGGACACAAACAACAGCCAGGGCTGCGACTGAGAGTCGCGGACAGACTGATGACAAATGGAGTCCGACTCTCCTCCCAACGCATCAGACCACTGGGGCCACATCGTTCCAAATTGCCCCACGGTGATAAAAAGCAGGCAGCTGTAAATTAGTTAAACCTCAGAAGCAGGAAGCCTGCATTTTTATGCCAGGATTATCTATTATTGATTGACCATCTTTGTGGTACAAAGATGAGCTTTGATTGTAATGCCCATAGAAATGAGCGTGCCAAGTGTAAACAGCAGGGCGGCACGTGCAGCCACGACCTCGTAAGCGATGCCATTACAGGCCGGTCCGGTCCGGTCGGGTCGCGGCATTCAAAAAAATAAAAAAGCATCCGCAGTGGTCAGTGTTCAGGCATCACCCGTCGCCAAACACGAATATCTGCTGTGTCCAGACGGCTGATGGTGCTACTTTATCACGCTAAAGGCACGAAACGGAAGAGAGCGACAGCTGGGGAAAATGTCCCGTATGTACATCAAGCTGTTAGCATGCTGCTAAGCGAAGACCACCAGAGCCGCCCTTCATAGGAGGTACGGTGCGGGGTTTTCAGGACGGGGATGAGGGGTAAAGCCTGCCAGGGGTCATGTGACCTCTGCTTATGTTCAACTATGACTAAAGCATCACAGTCAGGGAAGTAGGATGAAGAGCATCTTCCCCTGGGAAGATGTGGGTAGCAATGGGGGGGGCTGTCCAAGACTAGGGCCAAGGGAGAGTGTGTTGGGGACTGAGGAATGAAAGGTATTTGCCACACACACACACACACACACACACACACACACACATACGCACACACATACACAGACACACACACACACATATACACACACATACACACACACACACACACACATACACAGACACACACACACACACACATACACAGACACAGTGGCCACTGACATTCTCCATTAGCCCCACCAACGCATCCCTCCACCATTCTTACCAGTGTTTACCCTAGCATTATATTAGGGGGGCGCCCCGCCCTCTCAACAGCACTTCCTGCCCCCCCCTTGAAGGTCAAGTTAATTTTATTTAATTTTATTTTCTATATAGTGCCAGATCACAACAGAAGTCATTTAAGGTTACCTTTCTTATAGAACAAGCAGTGCCTGAAGTGGGCCGGAACGCAGTTCCGGAACTTCTGTATTTTCGTCTTTTGGGTTCCGCCACTTTTTTCTCCGTTCCGGTACTTACTGAAACTGATCCGACGCAGCGACAGTGGCCCGAGAATAGACAATATCGCAAGACCGATAAAAGACTACATTACCCACGAGCCACGACAGTGCCCTATCATATGCATCCACTGAGTCCCAACCAATCGCATCAGCTTTAGCCCTAGTCTATTGTTAGGCCTACAAGTATCACACTGGTCTGGTTCATGTTGCTTTAATGGTTTTTTAGTATTCCATTTGTGAATTAGAAAAAAGTAGCCTATGCCTATAGGTTATTGCTTGGAAGAATGATTAAATTAAAATAGTTTTTGAACAAACACATCCTAAAGACTTGATTTTTTTTTCACCGCACAAATGTCAAATGTCGGAATAAGTTCCTGCACTTATTTTTTCCCACTTCAAGCACTGAGAACAAGTCAATACATTGTCCTTTTATTAAACAAACTAAATAGCCTTATGTTATTTATCTTATTTACACAACAGCTTGTCATTTTTGTCTCTACACAGTCGCCCGTTTACAATTCTCCTCTGCTTTCTGTATCGCGCATGGCGGAGTTCTGCCCCGACACACAGGTGAGCACACTCCCACCAGCGGACAGAGAGCACGTGTCGGAAAATATGTCGCGTCAGCCACCTGAAAAGCAGATGTCTGCATTTTTTTGACTGCTGTCATTAAAAGAAACACATGAACACCATGAATCCTGTCGGTGTCCGTCTGCCCCCCCCCAAAGCTGTAAACCTAGGGGAAACACTGCTTACCATGTCACTGGTACACGACTGGCAGCTCACTATTGACCATAGTGCTCCTTCTCTGCGTGATCACCATGAAAATGTGTTTGTCAGACAAGCCTCCAAGTTTAGGCTGACAAAGCAGGGCTCTGCCTTCTGACTCCTGGGACGGCACCGCTAACCTAATCCCATACCTAACCTAATCCCGTACCTAACCCTAACCTAATCCCGGCTTCACCCACTGCCCTGCCCTTACCCTCAGAGCACTATGATCGCTCTAGCCCAGGGGTGGCCAGTCTTATCCGCAAAGGGCCGCTGTGTACGCGGGTTTTCGCTGCAACTCCCTAATTAGATTACTAATTAGAGGACTGATTGGCTGAAGAGTCCTCACACCTGGGTTTGAACAGCTGACATAAAGGTTATCCCAAAACCTGCATACACACCGGCCCTTTGCGGATAAGATTGGCCGCCCCTGCTCTAGCCAATGGAGTAGCAAAGACTAATAATTGATGATAATAATTTAAATACAAAGGTCTGAATGAAACAAAATTAGATACTATCCCCCCCCCCCCCATGCCCCTTGCTTGAGCCAGTGGTGTGAGCCGGTGTCCTGTGACCTGCGATTGCCCACGAGAGCAGAAGCTCGGTGCTGAATTCCCCCTTAATCACTCCCGCACAGCAGCAATATGACATTAATTCTCACTCCATGGGCATGAAAGGCTTCTGCCTTAATGACCAATTAGGCAAGAACAGGAACTGTGGCAGGTCCACAAACATGATTAACTGCTGCGATGCGAATGACTGTGCTCAGGTCCCGCTGTCAGCACACCGAGGTCCCGGGGAACATGTCAGAAAGGTAAATATGCCCCCCTCCCAGGGTCAGGCACGTAAGGACAGCGATGTCCGTCACATGTTGCAGAGCGGAGGTATGCTGCTGGCTCACGCTCTGTGTTTCATGGCAACATACAGGGTGAAGAGGCAGCATGATTCCAGCCTAAACACGGCCATTTTAGCTGCTCCTACCTGAAGACCATTTCAGACACAGGCAGATCCTGCTCAGTGATTAAAGGGAAAAAAACACTTTGGGCAAAATGCTAATCATTAAGCAAATATCTAGAAGCTAGCTCTGGCCCAGCACAAAATCTCATTATCTGCCTGCCAACGAGTGTCTCAGAAGACCTAATGGGAAATGGACAGCAGAGGTGAGCGAACACGACGTTGAGTGGCAGGTGGTCGACCAATGGGGGGGACCGTAAATCAATCGGCATAGATTACTGGTGCTGGTGGATGGTGAGAGCAAGCTGCTCCTCCCCCGAATGAGGCCTTCTGAATTATTCATGACTGTACTTAAAGTTCCAGCGCTTCTCACGTCCATCAAGTTCTCAGAGAGCATTTCACTAATTCACCTGTTTTGGGTATGGCCATCCATAAGTGCCTATCCAGCACTGGGACATGATGGGCCTGGAACCTTTCCCAGGAAGCATAAGGCAGGGACACCCTGGACAGGATGCCAGTCCATCGCAGTGACAATTCCATCTAAACTCACCCAGCATGTTTCTGGAAAGCGAGAGATGGGACAGGTACAGGCATGTGGAGAATACAGACACCCCACACAGAGCTGGAGGTGTGGGGCTACAGTACTACCCACTGAGCTACGTCGCCGCCCTTGTGGACAAAGCAGGCGATAAAGAGAAAAGGCTGGAATGAACAGCACCGGCTGGTGCATGCCGTCTCATTCTGCCATAAGAAGCGTCAGGCACGGCCCTGGCCGCTGAAAGAAACATGGCCGACGGAAAGCGGTGAGAGTGACGAGTGACGCACGGAGCGGGACGCGGTTTTTCCGGCACACAAAATTAGAAGTGGGACCATCTGCGTGGCCATCTGTCGGGAGCGAGGAGCCACCTTGCCATGCGGCGGCAGCAGGCGGGCAGGCAGGCGGGCAGGCAGGCAGGCAGCTCCCTGGGAGAACCGGAGCACACCGCCACTTCAGGATGGACCTTCCAGAAGAGTCAGTCAGTCCCGCTCAGTCAGAAAACAACTTGATCCTCCTGGGGCCAATAAGCCCTGACATGTCTCTCTATGTCTCTGTCTGTGCCAATCAAGGAATGCAAAATAGGAGTAAACGTCACTTCCTGTTGCTTTCAGCTTTCCATACATCCAGTAAAGGATTAACAAAAAGTTACCTCAAGCTCGACCACAGTGAGCAATACACCCCAGGAAATTATAAATCCTTCACTTTCCCCTGTGCCAGTGCACCCCCCCCCCCCCCAAACGCTAACAGGTTGGGTGCCACAGTCAGCAGCTCTCCTTCATTCAGCAATAAGCCCCAACGTGACATTCATTAAATCCCCGTGGTTTATCTGACCATTACAGCCACACATCTAAGTATCTATTACCCATAATGCTTGGTTTCAAGCCTCCAATTTGTCAATGGATTGTAGAGGAGAGGATGCGGGTATCTATAATATACCGAGTCATTCCTATTTAATTCAGCTGGAGAGCTGGACAGATTTTGGATTTTAAAATGTGTTTGGGCAGCCAGCGCTCGACAGCCAGGATGCCAACCAGCTGATCTGTGCAGGCAAAGCAGACTCTCATGGCGCGCCGCAAACTTCACTGTCCGCCAAGCCGCAGTCCTCCATTTGGAGCCAGGCACGGATGTGGGCGGCTCAGCCTCAGTTAGCCAACGCCGGTGATGATGCGAGACACTCCCAGAGGGAACTTAGACTAAAAAGAAGCCGAAACAAGTACAAATTGAAAGTGTTAAACTAGCGCTGGTTTGTCATGTATCCTGTGCAGGGTGGCCACTGTCTTGTGGGACAGGGCCCATGCTCAGCACTGGGTAAGCGGCAGGGTGGCCACTGCCTTGTGGGACAGGGCCCATGCTCAGCACTGGGTAAGCGGTTGGAAGACAGACAGATGGATGGGTGGATTTTGATCATGCCAATAGCAAATTTGTGCAGTTTCCACCTCAGTTGCAATATTTTTATTTATTTAGCAGTACGTGTTACCTGTAAACTTTGGCATCACTCTGGAACAGGCTGTTAGGTGACAGATGGAAATTTGGGTAGGTAGTCAGGGTTAAGAATAAGCTACTAGTTTAGTGGAGGGACTAGCAATGACCTGGCAAGCAAGACAGGCTGCTGGAAAGGTTTCCTCCCAGTTTTGTGATTCCCAGCTTTTTGGTCATACTTAATCATCTCGCTTGATCAATGATCTCGTTCTGAAATGTGTGGTGCTCTGTTTTACAGCCATGGCTCACGACCCCTCCCCCTAGCAGACATGCAGTTCGGGTGAATTCACATCTTCCAGGTGCCTATAGTGTGTGCCCATCCACGGTGTCGTGGCCGAAAACTTGTGCCCTATTTCCCCTGAACATGCGCAAAAATAAGTTTATGCAAGTAGCACTGATGCGTCACATTATATTTAAATACTTGGCTTTAAATAAAATTACACTGTGCTGCTCAAACTCTCAAAGCACAGATATGTTTTAGATGTGTGGGAGTTTCAGACCAAACACTTCTCTAAGTTTTAGCTGAATTTTTAACGACTTTGTCTTGAAACAATTAACAAAACAGGCTATGCTCCAATGTAGACGCACACATACAGACATGCCCCTCCAGAGCATTTAAGCAAGCTCAGAAAACACTGCGGCATCGATTTTAAGCGTGATTTTTCAGTGAACCAGGACACCCAAGTTCAAACATCCTGTCTATTAATATCGCATTAACAGCGAGTTCACAGGAAGACGAATTTGCAGCAAACTCGGCATTTACAATTGATTTCCAGCTGTTTTAGATAGAGTAGATACTTCTTATAACAAAATCCTACCTCCGACTTCCTAGGGGGGAAAAAATCAGGTTTTTTTATGGGAGGTCCATAGAAATGGAATAACCATGTGTCACATATTTCATTCATAATTCAACCTAAGATTTTGAAATTATGCACCAGGTCAACCTTCGATATCATGGTCAGTCGTACCTTGTTAAAGCGTAAGTTGGTCTCTAAGTAACTGGCACACGACCATTACATGTTGTGTAACGGTAATCTTCTCTGAAAATATTGTCATCCAGTAGACAGTAGTTAAAAATACAGTGCGGAGGAGAGACCAATACAAGTACGTACAGTATCGTCGCATTGTGTTGACAGAGATCGTATTTAAAGAAACCCTAAATAAAAGTCAGCCATACATTAAGAAGCCAAGCGAATACAACACCTTTATTTTTTTCTCAGTTTAAATGACCAGTTCTCTGCGTTTTCAGTAACTGTCCCTATGTCGTCTGCCCCTTGAGGTTTACTGCAGGCCAGCAGCCTGCGGAAACGGGAACAGGTTCACCGCTTAATTATCTTTTAAGGTTTTGCGGAAATCGTGACTTATTTAGGCGCTCTGTCATGGACTGGGACTGCAGTAATCAACCTCCTATTTGATTCAGGTGCCCTGCTCCACTAGTGATGTCAAGCACATCAAAACATTACCCTAATTCCTAAATTAGCCAAAGATCTAGACCGTATTACATCCAAACTTCCTAAAACCTACTGTAAATGCCGACTCCATCGCCTTAAAGATCCGTGGGGGACACTCCATTGAAATATTAATTACCCCCGGAGACGCATGAGAAATATATATCATGTATAAGCGCGATCTATAGGAAAAGTTGGTACCGAATAAAGGGAAAAACTTCAGGGAAAGCATGTGCGATAAAAATCAAAGATGCATAACAACTAAAAATGAGTATCTGCCGGCAAATGGTAACCCTTTAAATAATGCAAAAAGAGAATGTCGTTATTCGCGAAAAAATTTACTTTTCTCCTTCACCCGTTTTATATCAATTACGTCTGTTCAGCCATTACAGTAATACATTACTTTCATCCTGTAAAACATCACCCTCACCCACCTCTTACTGCAATAATGTCTGTAACAGTACATGTAGGCTACTATCTTACTAATAACATCAGTTATGTTTAGCTCCTTACCTGATCCAAAAGGAAACTTGGTCCCCAGATAGTCAACGAACAATTATAGCTACCTGCTTCTTTTTGCTTTTTCTTCCCTATTATGTCCACTCTGTCTCTATCCCTCATCCTCGTCTGATCAGTCCCCTCCCTTTCTTAATGACTCCGCATAACCGAGTGGCAGAGAGCCTGGGGAAGGAAGGGGGGGGGTGACTAATGGCCACACGGACCGCATAGGCACAAGGAAGGATCCGCAGGAGCGGAAGGTATTCCGTTCAAGCTCCCCGTGCCAGGGGGATTGCGACCCGATGGGCTTGACGCATTGGCCGATGGTGCACCTGAGGCTCCTCATTAACAACAGCAAACAAGAGGGTAGACATCCAGAAGGCGCCAAGAGACTCAAAATACCTTGGGTATCTCTGCGCTGGGGTCTGCAGAGACTCGTATAGCACAGCTGCCAGGCTTGTATCAGGCCATCAAAGATCTCACAAGCTTCAGCAAGAGCTCCCTAGAGCTTCACACCGCAGCGCCCCTGGCACTGCATCTCAATTTAAATCTCGACAAGGGAGTAGGCGGGGGTGTGGAGGGGGCAGTAGCATGTCCCTCTCAATATCACAAATCTGTTAATTTAGTATGCATGTGCAGGGCGGAGATATATATATATATATATATATATATATATATATATATATATATATATATATATATATATATATATATATGTGTGTGTGTGTGTGTGTGTGTGTGTGTGTGTGTGTGTGGTGTGGTGTGGTTTTCCAGTAGAAACCCTACATGCATTGATTCCAGCGTCCATCAAATCGCAGTTATTAAAGTGCCCGCCCCTCTTCTACTAATCCCAAATCCTACACCCTATCAACCTTTAGAAAAGGGAAGAAATGAAAGAAATTCATGCACGGAGACTGAAAATCAATTGCTGACATATAACTGACTGCAGCATACTGCATAGAGGTAAGCCGGTGCCGAGTTCATGAATGAATTTTACAATGCATTCTCGACTGTCGCAACAGCTTTTTTGCCAGACTCATTTCACCAGATGATAACGAGTGAACACTCTTCACAGTTTTAAAAACGACAGTGCATGGATCGCTTTGTAGGAAGAGAAGGCTCCTTATTGCCTTTGTTGAGAAATCTGGGTTTCAGAGCAAACCATAACCACACCGTCATGTTTAACTTGATTGAGGGAGTAGGTGTGCAAATTGCCACGAAAATTGATTAGAAAAGCTGGCTTTAAAAAGTACAGAACACAAAGAATCTCAATTAAACTGTAGAAGAACTGCATGAAATATAATTTCTAAAATGCAATTCATTTCCCAACAAAGTGGGTTCCCATTCATATCGCCTTTGCAGATTTCATTCGGACCAGGCTCTCAGTCCGTTCTCCAACGGACAGCATTTTATTCCTTTGAATCTACAGCCACCCATCCACCTATTTGCATTTCATTAATCCATGCAATTGTTCGCCGCCAATAACCACAATATTGCTTAACAGTACCACGGGAAACGTCGTACAGCAAAACGGAGGAGTGGGGAGCAGTGGAAAGCCCACTTACCACTGATTCAGACCACTCTAGGAGGAAGATGTCAGCAATTATGCGGTCGTATTTCGCACGGCCAGAGTCGGCGGCGAGAGGCGTGCAATGCGCATGCAACAACTGGCGGACGAGCGCTCCAGCAGTCCGCGGGCGGTAACACCTCCGCGCCGCGCAGCACCGCCTCCGATCGCGGAAAGCGGCGAGCCCGTGGCGCCCTGGGAAGGAAACCCCGGAATCAATCGAAGCGAGGAAAAATGTGTCATAAATGGACTACCTATTCTAATCGGTGGCAATGACACCATTCCCTTAGCCTGTGATTTAGTGAAAATAGCATTGATTATGTTCTCAATTGATTTCTTGGCAGATAGACAGACATACAGATAGATAGATTACATATTCTAGTTACAGTGATCGCTGAATGAACCCCACTTTTCATAATCAACTGATATGCTTGAAACGAGTTTGAAAACCTCACAAGGGGTGAACTCAGGTAGACTGGAGCAGTCTTTGTAAATTTCAATTATGCGATATACTTTACCATTAAAACAATACTTTAGGATAACATATTTTAGCGTTTCAAAACTCCAAGCTGTTATGCAATTTTTTAAAAATGCAGATAAATATTTACAGGAAACATGAAATACATTTTTGTATTCTTTGTGGAAAAACAAATTTTGTGGTTGGATTTCATAATGTGGGAAAATCACGTAGGGTTGCCATATGATATCTGACCAATCGTAATTTTTCCCGTGTTGTCATTTAATTTAATTTAATTTAAACCACTCATTTTTAAATGTTTAAATAATGTCATGATGTAAAAATATTGAGTCACAGATAAATAAAATAACATTTCTTTTTTTCAGGTCTTTATTTGAACGTAAGTAAATGTTTTTGGTTACATCAATTCTAGATTGCTAAAACAGATGACATTTCCTTTTTGGTGAACAGAGATGAGCAACAAATCACACGATTCATTATTTCAAAAACAGACAGTCCGTGTATGTGGGGGTTTCTTCGTCATCCATGATTCGCTCCGATACATGCCTCACGAGGCCGTCGGTGGCACATCACACAGCCAGTCTTTCGTTCATTTAAGGTCCATCTGGTCCCCATAACTCCTGCAGACTGCACACAGAGCCTCTTTCTTGTAATCCTTCGCTTTTGCCTCTTTCCTTTGGTCATTCGTTTTCACAAGAATTACTGGCATAACGGAATAATGAGGGTTTTGAAGCTTTTCTTGGCAAGGCAGGGTCACTGTAGTCCGGATTCAGTGGACAGATTCCACCACCGCTAAAGCCCGCTAAAGCTGCTGTTTTACTCCAGTCCAATTTAAAACAGATACAGAAACAGTGCCCCCTGGAGGCCTTCCAAACCGCTCTCACGGGTAAGGTGTCGGCCGGCCAGGCACCACAGGTTCTTGAAAAAGCGACCATTGTGCTGGCTGCCCAGCGTAAGGGGGGTGGGAAACATGACATGGGAACTGTTGTTTTTCATTTGGGTCAGAAATTCAGCATTGAATCCATGTGAGGTGTTTCTTCTTCGCAGAAGCATGTACTGCCATGGAACATCCTGAAAGGCAGGAAACAAATTATTTCCCCTATTGTATAAAGAAGTCATGATTATGGTGACTGTAGTGTTTGTCAGGCACATCGATGGTGGTGCCTGAGCACTGACCCCTTTTGCCCAAACGATTGAAAGTGCCCCTTCTGGATAATAAAGACGGCAAACTTTACTCTAAACCATGTCCCCCCCTTCTTATTTTGCTTTAAAAAGTCATGTCTGTGCAAGGCAGTGGTGTTTGTTGGAGATCCGTGAAGCTACTCCGCCATTATTCTTTGAAATGGCCGATACTGATCAGCTCTATTAAAGCTGGCAAAGGATGAGGCGTTTCGCCTGAAGCCATCTGGGGCCTCATTTATCGAACTTTCTGTAAATTTCATCCTCAAAAAAGTGCAAACACAAAAAGAATAAAGTGCATACAGACAGAAAAAATTGGATTAGTCAAACCTGGTGTACGCACATGTCCTCTGGGAAACCATCTTGTAAATGAACGTGCGTGCATTAGCCTGCCCAATCGCCTCCAGCAAATTTTCAACGTAAATGAGCTGTATGCTCATATAATATGCAAATAAAGCCTTTCTTGTTGTAAAGTCTGATGATTGTGATAAATAAATAAAAAGAAAAGAAAAGAAGAGAAATTTTGAATGGTGCGAGGAAGAGGTATGACTAAAAATTTGGGGTCTAAGCACATTTATCACAAACTAAAAATATACATTATCTGTGCATTTATTTATCACACATGAATAAACCAACCAGGCATAAAATTAAAGACACGGATAGGTGAAGTGAATAACACTGATTATCTCATTACAATGGCACCCATCAAGGATGCCATTACATATTAGGCATTGGAATGGTCCAGTCTTGATTTTGACGTGTTGAAAGCAGTAAGAATAGACTAGCATAAGGATCTGACTGATTTTAACAAGGGTCAAACTGTGACGACTAGATGACTGGGTCAGAGCATCTCCAACAACAACGACCTACACAATATTATGCAGGTGGTTTTAATGTTATGGTCGACTGGTATATCTTGCACAGCTGTTTGTAGCATTTTTTGCTCTATTTTGCACCATCAGATTAGTTGTTAAGTGCATTTCATTGTCATAGTACATGTACTTTGTACAATGACAATAAAGTTGAATATTGAAAAACGTGTTGAATCGCAACACATCGCAGCTGCAGTAAATTGTGTTAGCTCTACAAAATGCCCCGAAAAAAGCAGTTGGATCCCAAGAGAAAGAAGCGACTTGCTGTGTCCCGTTCTCCTGCAAGCCGTTACGTGATACCTAGGACTTTTAATTGACGATCATCTGTCTTATAAGGAACATATTAAATATTTAACAAAAAAGCTGAAATCCCTTTTAGGATTCTATTTCAGAAACAAATCATGCTTTTCTTCCCATGTAAAACTAAAACTAGTTCAATCAACTTTTTTACCTATCATCGATTACGGTGATGTAATTTACATGCATGCATCTGCTCATTGTCTTCACATGTTAGATAGCGTTTATCATGGAGCACTGAGGTTTATTTCAAACAGCGGTTCTCTAACTCACCACTGTGTGCTTTATGCCAAAGTAAATTGGTCTTCTTTACAAGCTCGTCGCCTCACTCACTGGCATATGTTCATCTATAAAACCATCAGGGGTAAATTTCCTTCTTACTTATCCTCACTTCTATCCTGGAAGCAAGGACGTCATAACCTTCGCTCGATGGACTTCTTAAATCTGGTTGTTCCTAAAGTAAGAACCGAACTAGGAAAGAAAGCCTTCAGGTTCTCAGCACCTT